TAAAACAGATATCAAAATTCCTATAAACTGACACACCAAGTAATATTTTTACTTGTGATTTATCTTTGAAAAAATAAACATTTATTGCAAACTTTGATTGGTCTTCTAAAGCTCACAAAAAACAAATTATGGTTGCAACCAAGACTAATGCATTTTAGGAAACAAGGATTTTTAACTTCCATGTGGTTGATTTCCATTGGTTGGGTCAACTTGTGTGCTTTCTGTCATTAAAACTAAATGTAGCATCTGTAGTTGCAAATTTACCAGTCAAAATACTTCTAATTTCAGATTTGTAATGATGCAATGCAAATTTTTTGGTGGCTATGGTTATTTGAAGGACTACCCCGTACAGCAATATATGCGAGATACCAGAGTTCATTGTATATTAGAAGGTAAGAATGTCACATTACCCACGTTATTAATAGTAGTGTTGTTAATGAAGAAATGAAGAACTACAACTGATAATGATATACATGGAAAGGGGTAGGGTTTATTACTATATCTCTAAAGGAATATGTAACATATTGGGATTTGTGAGGTCAGGGGAACTCACTCTTCTTGTATTAGTTATATTTATAATGTTGTTGTTGAGTGATGTCCCTTGTATTTATCTATCATTGTTCCTCTTCCGGGTTAACAAATAAAGATGGCTACATGCTGTTACGTCCCTTACATGTCCCCTGCTTGTGTGTGTGTGTGTGTGTTGCGTGCTGGAACGACAGGTACCCTCCCCTTTGGTGTATAGTTGTATCCCTTGGTTGAGTGTGTTTACATGGAGCGAGAGGTGTTCACGTGAGGTGTGTCAGGTGACGGGTGTCAGAGCGTGTGCCAGTGTGTGAATCAGTTAGTTGTAGGTGTGGCTGTGGACGTGGAACGTGGAACGTGGTGTTGAGTATTGTTATTATGTTGTAGACCCCTTTTGATCCTTTTATTATTTTAGTACTGTTATATTATTAAATATCTTATTATTATTGTTATTATAGAGTGTTAGTGTTATTGTTGTATACGTCGTATTTGTCTGTTATTTATATACCCCTAGATTCTAGAACCCAACATTTGGGGGCTCGTCCGTTTTAGCATGGCGACTACCAGGAGTGCCAGAAGACAGTTAATAAGTGACTTGAAGGAGGAGGGAAAGCTAATCGGGCTGACCGATGACAGTTTGGCGGAGGTGGGTAAAGGAAGAGTTGAGGAGGGTAGAAGATGCGAAGGTCGAGGTTGTAGCAAGGTATGTAACCCTGTACCCCCGCTTGAGGGACGTGGCGGCGATGACGGTAGACGAGGACCTGGGTGCGTACGTGAGGCATTTTGAGAGTCAAGCAAAGAGACAAGGCATTGACCCCAAGGACTGGTCGCTCCTTCTGACGGACAAGATGAGTGGACAACTGAAGACTTTCCTCGTTGAGACGGGACTGAACTTGCATCATGACTTCGAGTCAGTAAAGGTAAAGTTATTGACGCACGCAGGTTTCAACGAGGAAAAGTATAGGGTCAGATTCCACAGCTAGTACCAACACACGACGATATGAGAAGCTTCGCAGTCAACACAGAAGCCGCTTTGAGAGCGTGGGTCCAGCAGTCGGGAATAAAGGAAACGTTTGAGGACTTGATGAACCTTTTGATAGTTGATCGGATAAAATCGGTTGTTACTTGTGATCTGTTGGAGAGGCTGAATGGTGCTGCCAAGGTAAGTGTGGAAGATAATCTTAAAGTTATTGACAACTATAAGAGCACTCAAAACGCTAGAGTGACGAGGCCAGTAAACCAAACCCCTCCGTACGTCGCTGCTAGTTCGACAGCAGAGGACGATACCCTGGCTAAACACGACACCGCGATCTCCAGGACACCACACTTGCCCTGGTGTACAGCCTATGCATGGTGATAGGAAGGTCAGCCTGAGCAGTAAATGTTTCACATGTGGACGTTATGGACACTATGCCAGGGATTGTCATAGCAATAGTAATAGCGGTTTTCCTTGGAGAAACAGGTCAGATAAAAGAGCTGTTGTGATGTATGGAAACAACAAAAGACCTTATCGGTGCTACAAGTGCAATGAACAAGGTCATATTGCCAAAGAGTGCAGTATGGATATAGATACAGGCGCCTGTTATAGCTGTAGAAAGCCAGGCCACTTACAACGAAACTGTCCCAATGGGACCAGTAGAGCGTGCAACTGGCGTACTGAAAATGTACATCGACGGTCAGATGATCTCAAGTGTTATTGCTCCGGTGATGTTGGTCACATATCACGGGTGTGTCCCACAGCTCAGCGTGATATGTTAGGGAAATGTTTTCCCTGCTTAAAGACTCTCATATGAGAGTGAGTAAAGCACGAAATTTGGAGGCGTATCCTTACAAAGGTAGTGTCCTTGTAAGTTTTTTGTTAAGATAATTTATTCAATCAATGTTAATTTTTCTTTGCTTTTTTTTTACAGAAGCTGTGTATGATGATTACGGGCTGGAGATGATTAATGTAGTTAAAACGGCTATCGAGAAGGGGAACTCAGTTTGATCGCCTTTAAGGAAAGATGACCATCTATGGCGACGTACGCATCTACCGATGGGGCCCTTGCACTACAGGAATTAGCCTGTACTGGGAAACATATCAAGGGAACTGAGAACTTTGTAGCAATCTATCAAGAGTGTTTTACGACAACTAGTGTATATGATATTGAGAAATTTATTATTGTTGGAGATAGTATGATTATGTTAAGGAATTTACTATTGGGGCATTATAATATGATTATATTGAGAAATGTTTGAGAAAGGTATTACTGATGCAGTATAGAATGATTATGCTGATCAATTTTTTTATTGCGGCTTCTCACATGTATCTTTATAGGTTGAGATAGTCAGACCACGAGCTTGGTGCCCGGCCGGAGAAAAAACCATAGTCCACTCTCAGGACCGAATTGTTCAAGCTGGATGCGAGCCACAATCTGGACCAAACTATCCAGGCTGGATACACGCCCACACTCTGGACCAAACTGTCCAGGCTGGATACAAGCCACACTCTGGATCAAACTGTCCAGGCTGGATACACGCCACACGGTCAAAACGAGGCTTCCTAAGGACTAAAGAATAAATAGTCAAGCTCGGGCACCAACAGTGGCTAATGGAACAAGAAATATTTGATCTCTTTGAAGAAAAAGAGATCTGAAGGTGGAGGGGAGGGATGTTACGTCCCTTACATGTCCCCTGCTTGTGTGTGTGTGTGTGTGTTGCGTGCTGGAACGACAGGTACCCTCCCTTTGGTGTATAGTTGTATCCCTTGGTTGAGTGTGTTTACATGGAGCGAGAGGTGTTCACGTGAGGTGTGTCAGGTGACGGGTGTCAGAGCGTGTGCCAGTGTGTGAATCAGTTAGTTGTAGTGTGGCTGTGGACGTGGAACGTGGAACGTGGTGTTGAGTATTGTATTTATGTTGTAGACCCCTTTTGATCCTTTTATTATTTTAGTACTGTATATATTATTAAATATCTTATTATTATTGTTATTATAGAGTGTTAGTGTTATTGTTGTATACGTCGTATTTGTCTGTTATTTATATACCCCTAGATTCTAGAACCCAACACATGCTGATGGCTTCTGTCTCCGTTGTTGAATACCTAATCTATTATATCTGGCGACGAGGATAAATAATCCACTAGAAAGAGCACCTACTTACGCAAAAAAAGAGGTTTGCTAGAGCATATTGGCTAAGTATTTCTAGAATAATGGCGCTGTATGGCCAAATAAAAGAATTTGATTGGAATGATGAAAGCATTCATGATTACCTAGATAGGTTAAGCTTTTACCTTGAAGCAAAAAAACGTGACGATAGAAGCCAAAAAGAGAGCTGTTTTGTTAACAGTCATAGGGCCTCAACAATTTAGGCTATTAAAGGACTTATGCGCACCAGCTAGTCTAACTACCAAGAGCTTTAACGAGCTGAGCAAATTGCTAACAGACCACCATGCGCCGACCCCATCAAAGTTTCTATGTAGAGCTAGACTTGACGGTAGGACTCGTCAACCAAACGAGTCAATATCAGAATATGTTGCTGCTTTACGTCATTTAAGTGAATTTTGTGAATTCGGAGACACGCTGTCTGACAGACTATGTGAAAAGTTTGTGACAGGTGTAAACAGCCCTGATATTCAAAGAAAGTTGCTTCTCGAGTCAGATCTAACATTAGAAAAAGCAATACAACTTGCAACTTCATTCCAGCAGTCATCCGATGCGGCGAGATCTCTAGCACCTTCAGAGATCCATGCAGTAAACAGCAGGTTAGTCAATAAACACCAACCCCATCAGAGCATTCCAACTTATGCTAAACAGCCTGCTCGTTCAAATCCTAGATCTAAATCTAGTAATAATTATCAAAAATGTCATCGATGCAAAGGTCCCCATGCATCTCATCGGTGCAAGTTCAAGTCTGCAACTTGTTATAAGTGCAGTAAGCAAGGTCACATTGCCAAGGCCTGCTTTGCAAAGTCTTCGTCTGTTGCTAAATCTAGCCAGTCAAGACAGTACCGCAACCAAAGGCAGCACTATGTTAACTCTCACCAAGACTACCTAACCCAACCAATGAACCACTCTACCTGTAAAAATGCTCAAACTGATTCGCAGCCGGATTTCAACCTGTTCTCTGTGAAATCAATAAGTCATGCTCCCATCAATGTACTAGTTTATATCAACGGTAAGAGCATCAGCTTCCAACTTGACACTGGAGCATCTCTAATAGTCATCACAAAGAAGGACTTTGACGCTGTAACAGGAGGATCAGTGCCTCTACAACCATGTCACAAGTGTCTAACAACATACACTGGTGACAATGTTCCGGTAATAGGAGAGTGTATGGTTCATGTAAGTTATAATGGTCAAAGTGTTAAACTTCCTCTTCTTGTGGTTGAAGGAAATGGACCACCATTACTAGGTAGGAACTGGTTAGTTGATCTTAAGTTAAATTGGGAGAGTATATTGTAACATATTGGGATTTGTGAGGTCAGGGGAACTCACTCTTCTGTATTAGTATTATATTTATATTGTTATCTTGAGTGATGTCCCTTACATGTTTTGTAATTAGTGTCTCGTCACTTCCGCCTCTCTCTCTCTCTCTTGCCTCAAGGTGTGAATAAACTACTGTTAACAATCAAAGCGGCTTCTCGTCAGTGATTCCAATCTATCACATTGGCGACGAAGGATAAATAATCCACTAGAAAGAGCACCTACTTACGCAAAAAAGAGGTTTGCTAGAGCATATTGGCTAAGTATTTCTAGGATAATGGCGCTGTATGGCCAAATAAAAGAATTTGATTCGAATGATGAAATCATTCAGGATTACCTAGATAGGTTAAGCTTTTACCTTGAAGCAAACAACGTGACGATAGAAGCCAAAAAGAGAGCTGTTTTGTTAACAGTCATAGGGCCTCAACAATTTAGGCTATTAAAGGACTTATGCGCACCAGCTAGTCTAACTACCAAGAGCTTTAACGAGCTGAGCAAATTGCTAACAGACCACCATGCGCCTACCCCATCAAAGTTTCTATGTAGAGCTAGATTTGACAGTAGGACTCGTCAACCAAACGAGTCAATATTAGAATATGTTGCTGCTTTACGTCATTTAAGTAAATTTTGTGAATTTGGAGATACGCTGTCTGACAGACTATGTGAAAAGTTTGTGACAGGTGTAAACAGCCCTGATATTCAAAGAAAGTTGCTGCTCGAGTCAGATCTCACATTAGAAAAAGCAATACAACTTGCAACTTCATTCCAGCAGTCATCAGATGCGGCGAAATCTCTTACGCCTTCAGGGATCCATGCAGTAAACAGCAGGTTAGTCAACAAACACCAACCCCATCAGAGCATTTCAACTTATGCTAAACAGCCTGCACGTTCAAATCCTAGATCTAAATCTAGTAATAATTATCAAAAATGTCATCGATGCAAAGGTCCCCATGCATCTCATCGGTGCAAGTTCAAGTCTGCAACTTGTTATAAGTGCGGTAAGCAAGGTCACATTGCCAAGGCCTGCTTTGCAAAGTCTTCGTCTGTTGCTAAATCTAGCCAGTCAAGACAGTACCGCAACCAAAGGCAGCACTATGTTAACTCTCACCAAGACTACCTAACCCAACCAATGAACCACTCTACCTGTGAAAATGCTCAAACTGATTCGCAGCCGGATTTCAACCTGTTCTCTGTGAAATCAATAAGTCATGCTCCCATCAATGTACTAGTTAATATCAACGGTAAGAGCATCAGCTTCCAACTTGACACTGGAGCATCTCTAACAGT